AAAGATCTGTTGATCCTTTTGACGTAGCAAATACCACGAATATAGATAGTATTTATTAACCAAATAGGAATTAACGCGGATGAGACACAACCGTTACTTCAATATCAAATTTCTTTATGTAAAGAGGAAAATGCATAGAATTGTTTTAGCAGATGTACAGCTTTCTCATGGCTGTATCTATGATTTGTACATAGGATAAAGCCTTTACAAATTAGTTACCGCATGTATGCAAGTCTCAATATCAGACAAAAAAAAAACATTTTTAGATGATTTAAGGATTTAACAACGATCCATCACTTTAGGTATGGGAAAACGTTTTATATTTTTTATTGTGTAATGTGATGAGTCATTTACTTGGGAAATACTTTGTACAACAGACACTTTATTGTTCTGTTTTGACGTATTATAAACTTCTTCGGTTTTTCGACATTAGCAATTTCGTTTTCACGACACTAATCACGTGAACGTCATGTCATGCTGTGCTGCATTAAACGTCAACGATTCTACAACTTCCTACGATTGTCAAGAAGAATCAGTAGTCTATTCTGGATCATGCTCAAACATTCGCATGTTTCAAACTCAACCGGCCTAAGCGATTGTTCAGAGAGCTCTTCAAGGCTGGGTGGGTCCTTTGCGTCCTACTTCCTCAGAAGCCAGATAGATCTTCCTTTAACATACTTTCAAATGTCAACATCTTTCCTTCGAGAATAATGAAGTCGTCAAAGTTTATTCCCGTGATATTATTGATGCGTTCTTTCGTCTAGGTGAGAAAAAAGTGAACTTGTTGCAAGATTGCAAGGGAGCTTGAGGAGAAATAAATAGCTGCTTCAATCGTTGAAAATAATGTCAAGGAGCGGAAAAGATTAGGATGCAGTTGCATGAACTGATATTGTATTACAGTTGTTTTGCCCATTAATATCACATTTGAAAGTGTGATGATACAATGTGCATGCAAAAAAAAAGAAAAAAGTTTAACATTTACTAATTTAATTTGAAATAGCTAAATCATAAGCCAGATGTTCATAAAATAATGAATGAGGCAACAGAGACAGCGATACGATAAAGAACGATGATGCGGCAAACATTCTGACAGTTCGCTTTGCTTCAGGTGCTACGCCAAGATATGACAAATCATCAACTTCTTTCAGTGTTATCTCTGGTTTCAGATTAGTGATAATAACGTTGTCCGTTCCCAAAATATCAAGAACCTTTTCCGTCTTTGCGGGTTGTGCTGCAATATGCATGTATTGCAAGGCGATATTATCACACGTTTAATACAGGTGTCCGAGAAATATATTACTTAAATATTTGCAAATCAGCTAATTATTTTAATGTGGCGAAGTTTTTTTAAAAAGGATGAATGTGAACGACAAAAAACAAATTTGGATTTGCTGACAAAGAAACTAACAATTTTTAACGCAGAGAGCAAAATCAGATTTCATTTCGCAGGTGCTTTGAACAATCGCTAAAAGTTTGTCATACTACTATAGTGTATTTTTTCTTGTAAAATTGAAAATTGACAAATTTAAAGAATTCCGTCCTTTTTTTCTTTTCAAACTTTCCTTTATACTCTTTTTACGCTTAAGTCTGTCCTCGAACTACGATGCGGATCAAAAGAATGTCTTTCCTCCGTGTCTCGTCTCTGATTAAACCGTCACTAGTTTGCTAACCGAATTTTGCAATTAAATCAGGAAATATTTCGAATGATCAACATCAAATTGGTTGGAGTGACAGAAACTTTTAAATGGTAATTTTCGCTTTTGACAATAGCTTTTAATCAGATCTTCCGGATTTTTTTAGTAGGATGAAAGAGTTAAGACGATAGGCGAGGTGAGGATAAGCACAGAGGAATTCCAGGGAAGTCGCTGAATTCGAAACTAGTTTCAGAAACTAACAACCGCCGGGCAATTCCAGCATAAAGCAAAATGCTTCTGTAGAATTTGAAGCAGTGATGTTGATCTGAAAGAATTTTAACTTAAAAACTGCAATTTTCCTTTATCACAAAATGAATAATAACGATTCCGTTTGAGGAAGTCTTGTCACCTGAGTAAGGAAATCTTTTGCACAGTTCCAAGGCATAAATTATACTGCTCTTTTTTAATCTTAAAGGATGAGTTAATTCTGGAGCTTACTAAACGTATAGAAGTACTCTATATAGTCTATGAAAGTTGCATCTACAGCTAATCGATCATTCAAATGCTTCCAAACGAATTTGTTTTATTTAAAATTAGGAATTTGTTTTATTTAAAACACATCAAACTTCATTTAAATTTAAACGACACAAAAGAAACAGGCAGTCTTACCCCAACGGTTGAATATTTATAACCAGCAGCTGTTATGGCTTCCTCCTTAGCACTTTTGACTTTTTGATTAATATAACCATACTGGCTATAAATGTGTTTGGACGACGCACTCATGGCATAGCCTGATGCCTCACCCATTTCTGAAAAATGAGTGGAAAATTTCTATAAATTTCTACTTATAGTTGAAATTATTGCATAAAAAGATTGTTAGTTATCACGAGATAGGCGTTAACAGTGATCACTGTACAGAATACTTCCGAATATATCGCGGAAGCAATGTTAACATATTTCAAAAGGTTGCAAAATCAGATAATGATTTCTTTATATCTTCATATTGAGTCATTTTGTATACAAAATCTGGAGATAACCGCGACATTACAGGAAAACACTGATAATCTGTCATATGCAATCTACAACACATGTCTCAATCAGTATGAAAATTTCTCCGAAATATTTCCAGAAAATTTTTGCAATGTAGATTATTTTAAATCAAGGAAATGCACTGAAAACTATGTATCTTTCTTACCAGAGTTAAAATTTCTTACAAGAGTTACATTCATCACTAATTCCCACTTATTTAGTTTATATGCGTTCTAATTTGTCAGAAGAGGGAATCGCTGAGAATTATCAAAATGGATTTTGTTTAAGCGATATAATAAAGAAAGCCATAAAGCTGATCTATTACAACCCTAAAATACATAACTATTTTATTGGCAATTTTGAAGCAGTAGGAAAAAAGTGTCCAACTACTAGCAATAAAACACTATCCTGTACAATACTGAGAAATACATTTCTGATTGGCTTTTTTAACTTTAAGCATTATTTTACTTTACCCACTTCTCATCACTAATTCACACTGACTGCCCGAAAATAAGAACATATATTAGCAATTGTTAGTTACTCTTTTCTGAACCGTTACTTTGCATAACACGGAGATCGCCTGAGTCAATCGGTTCAAATAATTCAGCATTTTGAGATTTGCAGTAACTCGAAACCGCTTTAAAGTCATTAGCATCCTGAAATTGGAACCAATTTTTCAAATAACTTACTTTTACAAAAAATATTCTCTTTGCAAAAAATTTCTTTAAATGATATTGAACTGACAAATAAGTAAACAAAGAAATATAGCTAATGATTGATCACACACAGAAATGACAGAACGCATGATGTTACATACGTGATGTTCCATGGTGTTTACAAAACCGAAAGCCTCAATTTGTCAAAATACTGTAAGGCGTTTTCAATTCAAAGGATTAGAAAATGAACGATGTACTGGATTAGAAAATGAACGATGTACTTCTGAAATCATATCAAGGAACAATCTGCTGAGCATCCCTCCTGCTAACCAGTTTTTCAGTCCATTTAATAAATAACAAACCATTAATGGATTTGAGAATTCATGAAATAAGTAACATTTTGAAGCGTTATTAATCGCAAGCAACACAAATCCATCATCACACTCCTGCTTCTCAATAACTGACACTGAAAAACTAAGTAATCCTACAAGAAGGCATCAGAATATATCTTCGTCTCGACAACCATCCCGAAGCACCAGTATCCACCAATAATTCTCAGAAATTTCCAAATATCTCTGAACACTACAAATATTTAGTATCTTTTCGCCAAATAAAATGCGACACTGATCTTACTTACAATAAAAACACTGAAAAACAAAACAAACGTGCTGAGTTTCGATGTTCGCATACCACCGCTGTATATTTATCCGTTTTTGAAGCTGCTTCGTATTCTAAAAAATCGAAATTATATTCCGGTATAAGACAATATTTACTTTATGCATATGAAAACGTTTGATAATACCGAAGTGCCGTTACCAGTTGTCCCAAACGAGATCGCTGTCGATATAACAGTAAACTAAAGTGACATCATTATAACACCGGAAATACTTAATGAAAGAGAAAAGCGGTTCTTAACTCATTCATGAATTCGTAAAACAGTAAATGAAAAAAAAATCAGTTTAGTTGTGGTGATCGTTTAATATATTTCATCAAAGTTAGACGCAAAACTTGACATGAGATAAAATTTAAAAATTTTCTGCAGATAATGAAAAAACGTACGGAGACCAGTTGCCGTGTTAGATAGTCTTAATATTTCCAATGACGGTTTGACTTTATTCATATCGGAATCATTTTTTTGGCCATCGCGTATTTGCATCCATTTACTTTTTTCATTAACAAATCCAAGCGGTATTTTTGTTTCTGAGCCTGTGTATATTAAATTGTTAGGTCATAATCGTAACAATTTCATCATCTTTATCTCAGCTTCTACATCATTTTATGACCTTTTGTCATTTTTATCATGATTTTATGATGAATTGCCCTTTACCTCAATTTTATTCGTCCAACAAAGAATTCATTGCAAGTTATGCAAAATTATACATCCCCAAAACAAACAGGAACTTCAAAATGTTCAAATAAAGCACAATACACGATCAAGTAGTGTCTATCGCCCTCAATGTTGAAAAAATAGGTCAGCTCAATGGAGTGATATGAATTTGCATAAATTACAGTTCTACGTTGTTTTCTCTTTGAAAGAGAAGTTTCAGTTGTGATGAAAACAGATTGCAGCATACCAATCTCTGAGAACATTATTTGCAGCAGACGGTTTTCATCATCAGTCGGTGTTGGTAGCTGTCCTCCAGTTTCCTTGCAATAATTATTTGCTTTATTCCAGTCCATATCCGATTTCACCTGTAATAGGAAAATTGAACTTTAGATGCAGTGCAAAAGGATGCATGGCTATATACAATTTGATTGCAAACTATCCTACTTTTGCAACACCAAAGCATGGCGTTTCTCTTCTGTTCAAATCTTGCTTCCAAGCCAAAGTCCCATCAAAGCAAACTATATCTTCATGTTCTCCAATTCGTACGGCTACAACCTGTAAATTTTAAAGGTAAGCTATGCAGTTCACAAATGAGTAGATCAGGAGATGCACTGATTCTGCATTGAATGATGCGTGTCCTGTGTGCATGTCCGTACTCTACCCATTCAATAGATTAAAGCGTCATCAATTAAATAAGCATCTCTTTCTTAAAGTAACTGATGGTAAAACCACGTTCAGAGTAAAACTATGAATGCTGAATATCATTTCCTGTTGCCATTTTTCCGATTCTAGATTGAATTTCAAATGTATCTGCTCTGATCTCTTTTGAAAAAAGGATAAGATTAATCAGGTCTCTTGACAATTTTTGATAAAAGTAATATAGATATACACTTCAGACTTCTGGAATATTTTTTGTACCTATGACAAGCGGTAAGACACAGTTCGAAAAGTGTGCATAAAATACAATCATAAAATGCAGCATCAGGAGCATAAAAAAGATTAGAAATTAAAATTCCAACTTGGATTAGAGGGAAATGAGCACTACTACGAACCACGACTATAAAGAAGTAACTCGCCAGAAGCTTATACATTTGAACACAATAACTTAATCGCCACTTCTCATTACCTATATCCTAAAATTGGTGCCAGAAACAATTAATGTTATGTAAATTTTCTAGAAACTTTTTTTCGTACTGTCAATGATAACTGTTCTTTAACTATCAAGTTTAAACAAAGTTTAAAAGACGTGGAAGAGATCTCTCTAAGAAGGTACATGACAGAGTGTCTTCCTTATGCCTCACCTATTTTTTTATCTTAATTCATCACCATTAGTTATGCTTTGCCATAAAAAGTATCGAATTGTAATTGCAACGATGTTCCAAGTCCCATCGATTACTTCGATCAGCTAGATGTTAGTGCTAAAGACGGAATCCAAAACGCCTAAAACTTATATTTGAATTTTTTGATACGTCAATTTTCGTACGAAAAATAAAACAATTTGAAACCGTTTATTGTGAAGCAAGGATGGAATTTACTATTATGGTTGATATAGACAAATTAATTCATTTCTTCATGCCTTGAATATATCTGTGTAATAATGCGAAAATGGACGGCACCTGTCAAGTTCAAGTAGCAAAAGCCCTCACGTCACTCCCCAATGTAGAGGTACTACTGTAGGACAAACTAATTGCATTAATGGTTTAAGATTTGATGGACCGCAATTCGTTGAAATTCGTTGAAAGCGCAATTCGTTGAATTGAACAATCTGTCTTGTGAGAGAGCAAGGAGGGCATGCTGGGGAGGAGGTGGAGGGGTGGGGGAAGGGATGGAGGGGGAGAGGGGGGGGGGCGGAGGGTTGGCTTTGTTGTTTGACATTGTTCTGGTGAAGTTTTTAATGGTTAGAGATGACCTGCAGATGGGCAAGTCGAAGAAATTGAAATCAAGCGCCGGCGATTTGATTTCCAAATCAGCACTCCCACTGGATCTGCAGATTGAACAGAGTAAACGTGAAAGTGGACGTGACGTAGCGCGCGTGAAACAACGAAAATTGAAACGGGCCAAACCGGATGATGAGGTAAGGACATGTCATAAATGCTAACTTTGCGTTAATTCAAGCTGACTTTTTCAGATAGGTTTTCAGATCAGTCCGATTTATGGAAAAGTCATGGATTTCTCAGCCATATGATTTTTCTTTTATAGTACATCGATGAGTCGCTGTCAAATAAAATCCTTAAAACGGCTTGGAAGCAAAAGCAAGATATGGAAGAAATGGAAGAAGCACAAACAGAGGATATGATGCAGCAGAATACACTAGAAAGGTTACGTAGTTGTTTTACTTGGCGGTATATTTTGTTTTCATATAATTGTGACATTTACCGATTTTCCTTTACATGTGGGAATCGCAGAATAACTCATAAGCCGGCATCAAATATTATTGGAAGGCGTTTTTGATTGGACGTTCAATGGGAAGTTGAGTGTTGGTTCATTTTATTATCGTTTGGGACTAGCTTTCGAAACAAAAAACAGGGATTTCAAATTCTGCAGGGCTTATTTTGCATAGCATAAACTACGAGTGGTATTGGATTTATCATGTCGTGGTGTAATTGGTCATAAAGTGAATAACTTTAGGATACGTAAAGTAAGCCTTGGGAACGATTCGTTGAATTCTCTATCGGACGACGATACCATCTTTGATAATGATGATTATGACAATGCTGTGTTGGTTAGTCCATATTTTCTCAATAAATTTAAAATGTTTAACATTACAATCCGTTAATATAGACATGATTTTTTCTTTGTTGGTTGGATTTCAACAAATGAATTTTAAATTCGTAAAATTAGAATCATTCACAGAATTACGATTGGAAAGAAATAAGAAAGAAGAGCTATTTTTTATATTGATAAGGGATCTGTCAGTGATGATTTCGTGTACTGCTAGTGATTTACTACAGCAAATAAATCCGGAAGATGAAGCCGCAGTTGAAAAGTTTATGTCGAAAACTGATGCTCCATCGCGGACACTTAACGACATAATAATTGAAAAAATTGAGAAAAAAAGAGTCGAACTTGAATTGCGATCTGTGTATCCAGAAGATGATGATTTTGTGGTATCTTTTTTGAAATGGATTTTAATAGAGTTGGGGTTTTCCACAAAGTTAGAGTCCGAGTTTTTTGCTTGCAATATTCAAGAACTTAGTGATATTGGAAATTTAGTACCTGATGAGAAAACAACAAAGAGGATACACTCTAGTTATTTTTCATATTGATAAGAAGTCAACCAGTGATGAGTTTTTATACTGCTAATAATTCACTACAGTAAATAAATCCGGAAAACCAAATCTCTGCGGAGGTCAGAGAACATTTTATTTGTTAAAGCTTTGTCGATTGGTTTTCGTTAATTTTAGATAAAGGAAATGGATCCAACAGTTGTGGAAATGTATCGCGAGATTGGTTTAGTATTATCTCGTTATCGAAGTGGTAAAATACCAAAAGCTTTTAAAGTCCTCCCAAAAATGATGAATTGGGAGCAGTTATTATAGTAAGCTTTATTACGATGAAATATTTGAACTTTATTTCTCTGAAGACAATGAGGCTTAATTGCTAACGGTACTGCGAATTCTAAAGGAATTTAACCAATTCTCAAATTGGTATTTCTGAGGTATAAAACGTCAGAATTAAGTGACAGGTTTTTTAACGTTTTTGTAGCCTTACGAATCCTGATAAATGGTCAGCAGCAGCTATGTACCAAGCGACCAGGATATTCGCATCAAATCTTCATGCTAGAATGTGTCAAAGGTTAGTCAACTGTCTCGAAGCTGTAGTGTGTTATAGAGTTTTGTTTCCCTTTTTTTCTCTTAAAAATTTCACTGTACAGTACCATCTGAGGTCATAAAAAGGAGCTTAATTTTTTGCCAAAATCGAAACTTTGGTGTTGTAAGTTTCTGGATTGTCAAGTTTACATTTTCAGGTTTTACAATTTAATATTGTTGCCGCGGTTGAGAGATGATATTGCCGAATATAAGAAACTCAATTTCCACCTGTTTCAAGCGTTGCACAAGGCAGTTTATAAGCCGCAAGCTTTTTTCAAAGGGATTCTCTTGCCACTTTGCGAAGTAATTTTTCCCCCACTATTAAAAGTTCTTTGTGAGCAAAAGGGATTCAGTAAAACGTAAGGAGAGAGTAAAATTGTATGAAATCCCCTCGACCAAGAGAGTTAAGAAATTCGAAAATAAAAAATTCACCATTTTTCCCGTAGCAAAACTTTTCGGTCCAATTTTTCTGCAGTGATGAATTGAGATGGCAGATTGCAAGAGAAAAGTATGAAGAATGGGGATCGAACAATTCCTGTCATAATAAAGAATACAAATTAGTTTTGCAGTCAGGAACATGCACATTACGTGAGGCAACGATTTTCGGTTCAGTGTTAACAAAAGCATCAATACCAGTGATACATGCTGCAGTCGCGATGCTCAAGGTGAAAATCTAGATCTCATTGCCTTTTGAAATATCACTTGAAATATTATTTAGGAAATAAGTTATCCATCTAATTTCATCTTTTTGTATTCCTGTTTTCATATTCAGATCGCAAATATGGAATACACGGGCTCGAATTCGTTATTTTTGAGGATACTTATTGATAAAAAATATTCTTTGCCGTACCGAGCCATTGATGCACTGGTAAAGCATTATTTAAGGTAAGCTATACAAAGCTGTTGCGTTTTGCCTAGCGTAACTTGAGTGGTATAATCTTTCTATATTCCCTCTTTCTACTTTGGATATGTCAGACTGAAATGAAAGTGGCTGAATTGTACTCAGAGTGGTGCAGCTTATTGAAGTTGAGTTTTTTTCTAGGTTTCGAAAAGAAGAGCGACAATTACCTGTCCTTTGGCATCAATCACTGCTAGCTTTCGCACAACGATATAAAAATGATATAAGCGATGAGCAGCGCCTAGCTTTGATGGAACTAACAAAAGTAAGCAATTATTGAATAAAAATTTTTGGGTTCATTTTCTTTATCATGACTTGTCAAATTTGTATTAGCCTATACAAATATAGTCCATTAAAAACGAGGCAATTTTATAGATTTCAAGTTTCACCGCTGTTGTCCAAATAACTTAAATACAATGGACACGAACTGTACCTTATTTCAGGTGCAAAGTCATTACCAGATAACGCCTGAAGTTTGTCGTGAGTTAATGTCTGGTAAGAAGGAAGCAAACAAGCAATCAAATGCTGAAAGTAAATAAACCAGTGAAAAACAATCCCACAGTTATCTTCTTGAAGGAATTGTATTCATGCCTTTAATTTGACTATGACAGACACTTTTTCATATCAGTAGGAAGGGGCGGGATGAGTTTTTTATTATTTTTTTAAAGTGAAATTTCGTTGCCTGTTTTCATGTTTTGGCATAAGTCACAAGTGACAGTTCTTGTGGACGTTGTATAAACAGACAGACTGGATAATGAAATATTATAAATGTGAGCAAGGATAATAAAGTGTGATAAATCAATTTGTGTACTTTAAGGGTACTTGATTATATGTTTTTTCTTTTTAAATGGTTTTTGCTGGGCGCACCATTGGCGAAGACATAATTGAAATTAGAAAAGTTAATTACTCCTGTCATTTATATTCTCGAATATGGCAGTAAAAGTTCGACATCGTTTCTTGTTTCAGTAGAAACTTTTGAGTTAGAAGCAAGTTACTTGCATAGCTTCAAGCAGTTAGTACTATGTATGTATATGCTAGTACTGAAAATACTGTAATCTATTGTCGTTTAATGTTCATTTATGCATTTGCCTATTTGTACGTTTAGATTTAATCCATCAAATGTCTCAGTTTGGTAGTTGTTAAATACTGATCGTGGAATAGGAGAAAATATAGTCCGATGAAATATACTGATTAACAGTGTTTCTTGATGTCTTATCTCTTCCTGATCTGGTTCTCTTATAGTTTCCTGGTTTCGAGTTCTCAGGTCTGTTGGGCTAGCTTTCAACTCTGTTATGACAAGAAGGGGAAAAATAAACACAATCATTTGTGTTTTCACTTATATGCAACATTGCTTCATTCTTAAAATTGCTTTTCACCCTTTCCCAGTCTGTATTCTTTACTTACCATCTTTCTTTCTCGTTATTATCGAACGTCATTTTCCTTTTAATTTTAGCATTACAGAACAGTTTGTAACAGCCTTCAGAATCTTTTCGGATTTTTAATTTTACTCTCCTCTATGTTATATTCGGTTGAAAGGTTAAGTCAACTGTGGTGCTCCGAGAAGCAGTTGACAGCGCGGGTATTGTGTAGTGCTTATGCGGAATATTACGTGCAGAAAAGGATGAGGCGAAGGTTTGTTTAGTGGATATGAGCTTCTGCTGACTTTATTTCAAAATTTTAAAATCCGATCAGTCCGATTGTTGTGCTAATTGTGACATGGCATTTTAAACACTTGTTTGTAGTTTTTAAGGTGTTGATTTCTCGTAATGCCAAAAAAAAAAAATTCGAACTGGTTTAAACTTCACATATTATTGTGCCATTAACCATTCGAAAATTGCAGAAATTTGGGAAATTATTTATCATAAGTTTTGATGCCTACTAAATAATCATGTACATGGTAAAATGAGTTTTTAATTACCGTATCACTTTTGGTTAAATTTTCTAGGACACTTACTCCACCACCGTGGACACCAAAGAAAGACGAAAATATTGTTGAACCAATTGAACCCAGCACGCGAGTCTTACTTCATCAATTCATTAAACTGGAGAAGGAAGGTAACTTTTGCTGCTTATGTACGCTCTCCCATGCAAACTTACTAGTACTTTCACGAATGATTTTCACTCGTACAAAATTGTTGCTCTGTCCATTATTAACATGGTTATATGATATTATATTGTTTGCAGTTCATGTCATTTTAATCAGTTATCTAAATTCCTAAATTTAACGATCATTGCAGTGCATGGGCCGATTATTCGGGCGAATCCGCATATGTCTTTCAAAACTCCATTATGTGAAATACGTCAAGAAACCGATCGACCAGAATGGACGCCAGAATCAAACCGCGTCGGAATGTTAGCCAGAAAAATTGGAATGTTCCCTCAGTGGGGTGCGGATGGAACTCGGTTTCTGTGCACATTACTGGAATTTCCCAGGAATCTCGTTATCTCAGCAGTTGATCCAGAAACTTACTACCGGTTAATTTTCTGTCAAGGTTCTCATGTAAATGAGTTTTTTTCATCAGAGTTTTTAATCTTCAGCTAACAGGATTAACTATTGCTTTGTTGCTATAAGGAAGACGGGCGTTAAGTGATCTGAATATGAAGTTTGTCAAAAGATTTTAAACTTCGAGATTTCTAGAATAAGCATGGTGGGAAGGCGAAAAGCATATGGCCGCTATGGTCCCCGATGGCGAATTACGGTTGGAGCTGTTGATGGTGATCCGACAAAATTTACTGCACGATATCGTGCTACTTTTGAACGACATGGTGATAATTTTGTTGTTTTTATTTTCCTGATATCATCTGATTTTATGATCAAACTATTTAGCATTATGTATTCCAGTATTAGAAACTGCTCTTCGATTTTCTAGGTTTTCCTGTAAAGAAATACATGGCATCTTTTTTGGTTACCGAGGATGCAGTGGTGGAACCGGGAACAGAATTACATGTATGCCACTTCAAAGTTGGTCAGTACATAACTGCTACGGGACATACTATTGATTGGGGTTTCCAGGGTGGAATGCACAGATGGGGCTTCAAAGGTATGCCTGCTCGAGGGTAAGTTTTTGTATATTTGATTTATCGTTACTGTTTGATAGGCTTTCATATCCTTAGTAATTCTATTTTATATAGAAGGGAGTTCTGCTTCGTCATACTTTTTTTTTTCTGTGCTCATTGACTCATTGCTTTCAGAACTACAAAATCTCATCGTCGTATCGGTGCCATTGGTTCAAAAGGCGATGCTCGGGTAAGGCCTGGGAAGCGGATGCCAGGTCATATGGGTTATGAATGGCGATCTATTCCAGGCCTTGAAGTGCTAAGGATTAATCCCGAAAAACAGGTTTCCAAATTTCAAAAATTTACGAAAAACTGGAAAATTTCTCGACATAATGAGAACATTATCTTAAATCTTGATTTACATAAATAATCATTATCAAATAATTATATGGAAAAGAGGTATTGTGTTCTAGGTAATGTATGTTAATGGATCGGTACCGGGTGAAACAGGAGAAATATTACTCATCAAGGACTGTTATCACGATAAAAAGAAAGTTCAGTATCCACATTTCCCTACTTTTTCTTATGAGAAAGATTTTGAAACTGAAACAAAGTGTAATGATGATCCTTATTCGCCGTTCGTTTATGAAGATGGTGAATTTTTCGCTCGGCGATTATTTAGGTTGCTATTTTGAATTATTGTTCCTATTGCTATTTATAATTCTTTTAATATTGTGTATGTAGTTTTGTGGATTCATTTTTATTAAAATGTGAATTATTTTCTTTTCTCTTATTGATGTATTTTGTATTTTCTTTCCACTTTCAGGATGACGATGCCTTCAATAGTTTTCACAGAACCTGAAAATTTCAAAACAACGAAAAGAGATAAGACAAAGGCAAAAACAGCCAAAGTGAAGAAGTAATTGCTTGGGTCGGTTTTTCAGAAATCGATAGATGTCCCTAATTTTCTTGCTTTGTTCTTTTCTTTTGCCTGATCACTTGGAGTGTTTTGAAGATAAAAGAGCAGATTATTCTTTTCTATTATTTGGTTTTCGGTTTTTAATATAACTTGGGTTTATGTAACTTTACTGGTTGATTTTGTAAGCCGTAAGCTTTCTAAGTATGTGATAAGCATAGCAAAGTTTGGCAAACTTGAGCATTTTGTTTTCCCTTACTTATTTAATTACAAAAAAAAAATTAAGGGAATTGATATGAGTTGAGAATCGGATTTGGATTTTTCATGTGTTTCATTTTCTTCTAAAAGAATTCACATCGTGGTGATTCGGTTTTGATCTATGAATCATTTTGTTGAAGTTTGCATCACTATGGATTATGACTGTGTAATAAAGATAAAATATTGATTTCGTTATTATTTTGTTTTCTCGTTAATACGCGAAAACAGCTGGTAGTATTTACTACCCCTGTTTTGTCCCCATATCTCTTTTAAGTTCCGACTATTCATATTTCATTTATAAGGCTGCATTGGTCGTCTGCATCGTCGGTGTTTGGAGCTGAGGAATTGACACCATAATTTACAACGTCAGATACTTGTTTGGTTCTGCTTAAATGGAAGATTTGTAAGAGTGATCCTTCCAAATAAGCCTTTAAAAGTATCGTGAAATCCGATTTTGCTGGTTTGTCACATCTATATGTTTTTTAAATATCATGACTTTACAGGAAATTTATGAAGGGATCCAAAAAGCTTGGCGAGCGGGTCAGTGATGGTGTTCTCGGAAATGAATTTTAATGACATCGAATTACAATGATTTGTATTACATTTATTTAAAATGACTACTGAAGGAGGAGGTAAGGTTGATATTCAAACAATGGTAGGAAAGTAATTGAAAAAGAGTATCCATAACATTTTATGCATTTTCATACTGGACATGCAGAGGTTATCTGTATTACTTTGCCTTTACGTCCAAGTTTTTTACGTTCTTTACATCCTTTACATTCTCATTTAATCATCTTCCGTTGCAGATGATGTTGTACGTCAAGTTTCAACTGAACAAGATCACTGTTATTTGAAAAGTTTTGCGTGTTTTACTCGTCGAATGCGCGCCGTTTCAGCTGCTCGCTTACCTCATGTCGTGCTTTTAGCAGTTTTTCAATATTTAAGTCTTGAAGACTTGGCACAATGTATGCGAGTTTGTAGACACTGGTGGACTGTTTTACAGTATCCGGTTAGCTACATTTGATTATTTTGGTTGAGCTCATTGATCATTTACTTTTCTGTTCAGTTATTTTACTACATTGTTTAATATTGCTTTTGGTAAGTGCTAAACTTTATAGGATAGCTTTGTATGGAAACGTCTGGCGCGTATAATT